GACTTTTTTTCATAAGTTTCTGACTTTACAATGTCAGAAAATATTTAGTTTAAATACTGAAAATATTCGCGGAAATATCTGTTTTTTTTCCGCAAATTTACGACTTTTCTACATAAGAGAATTTCCTGTATTTTTTTTCTTTAAAACTTCCTAAATTAATTGTCCACAAATATACAACTTTTTGATCCCAGAGAATTGCCTTGGTTTTTTGGGGGGTTAAAATTTCTGAAATTAATCTCAAACTTTGAGTTTTTTTGCAGAGCTTTACTTCCTTATTTTCTCTCTTCAAAATGGCTCTAATACACCATCATAAGAAAACCTACTGCACATTTACCCAGTATGCTTTGAGGCGTTAATAAAATTTGCGCTGGCCGTGTGACAATATATTTTAACAAACTTAAAAAAAGCTAAACAGCCTACATTTTTTAACAGTCTTTGTTTTACGGTTGAAGTAAATATTTATCAAATATCTAATGTTACAAATAATCGTGAATCACTTTAAAATACAGTTTTAAGGCCAAATAACTTTTCTGTTAAGTGAGCCAAGTATACGAAAAACAATTAAGAGGAGTTCTACCTAGGAGTGCGTTATAAAAAGTAAGGTTTATGGTAACGAGAGATAACAGAAAGAAAACTAGACATGGGTTTTTACGATGTAAAAACAAGTGTGCATTGCCRTGTAGCATGGCTTTGCCTRAAGCAGTGGACTTGCAAAATGAAATGTGACCAAGTTCAACTGTGTTTTCTATACCAGCCTGTGCTTGTCAAGTCAGCAGGTGTTTGTAATGAGGGTAATTGTGTGACAATATGAAGTTTGTAGAGATTTTCTGTTAAASTTGCTGTTGCTGGGTTTTGAACCCTGATCTCGTACATGAAAGCCCATGGCACAAACCATGAGACCATTAGAGCTGTGGTAACGAACGAGGCCAGGGTTTGGTTTGTATGTGTGCAGAAAGTGGCCACATTGCCAAAGTAATGGTTGTCACAAATTTGAAAAATATTACAACAATAAAGCAATATTTGGACATTATAGTAAAACATCAAAAATACAATCATATTAGTATTGTAAACACTGAACTATTGAGATTAAATATTAAACTATGGTTCAGTACTGAGTAGATCCAGCAGGGGGCAGCATTGGACCAATACAAGACTCTATTGACTCCCATTATAAATTATTAAACATTAATATTTAAAAAAACTATAAGTTGTACAGGCACCAAAAGGCATAGCCATCATTTGGCACAGGAGCTTTAAAAATATAAACTACAATGGCAGCTCTAGGACAAAGTATGCAGGCGGAGAAGCGTGCCAAAGTGGAGATGACTTGGATGAGAAACGTATCACAATAGTGTGCATTGCCTAGAGGCCTCAGAAATGTCAGTTTTCAATTTTGGGCAAACAGACTGGTTTGAAAACCCCACTGCATCTTGATGGAATAAAACAAAACTTCCAGTGCTCTCTTTTAACACAAGAAGAAATTTAAAAAATGTAAATTTTTAATCTTTCAGTGCCTAATTAAAGATTTGAAATTAGAGGCCGTCGAGGACCAGGACTCGTCTAAACGTCACAATGTTTCACAGAAAAACAGAAAAATAATGTTTGGTAAAATGTGTGAGCAGCCGATACTACATTTCCAGCCCTGGATTAAACGTCATTTCCACATCCARTTATATAAATATATTTCTCAAATGGAAAGCATTTAAAACAGCGACGTCCCAGCAAATTCACCCCAAAGGTCAGACTGCGCAATGCTCACAGAAATGTACTCATAAATAAATTTTAAAAAAGTGTGAGATTCTGACCTTATCGTGTGGCTCTCTGACAGAAGAGAGGATATGCATGGCCTGGGCGGAGTTGGTTTCCAAAAAGTAATCCACCAGGCCGTTCAGTAACAAGGAGCCTCGCTCTTTAAARGAAAACAGGAAGTTTTGAATAAGTGTGTCGAAGCTGTGAAACACACACACACACACGCACACGTGTCGACCTGCGTACCGGTGTTGAGATGCTCGTTGATCAGGCCTCGGATCTCTTCGAGCTGCTGGAGGTCGGAGGTCTCCAGGAGCGGGAGGAGGTCCCCCACGTTGGGCTGCTCCCGGGCCATGGTGGTGGCAGTGCTTCTCTCACAGTGTCAGTCCCGGCTTGCCTGGAGGACTCCTGGGGCCCACCCACCGACGCAGTCTCCAGGCACCTCTGCCAGTACAGAACCAGGGTTAGCTCGGAGGGCTCGTGCTCTTTTGTTGTTTGTTTTGTATTGTCGCACAGATCGTCACGACGAGAAGTGAGCAACAGGAAGCAGAGTTTGCTTTTAACGGCGCTTCCTTTAGTGGATCGTTAGAGATAAACTCAAAGTGACTAATTTAAGACAAGAGGAAAGGTCAGGTGGTACAACCAGGGTTTATAACCACATCCACATGAAAACCAGTAACTCAAGGTTCCCACACCTTGGTCAACATCAAATTCAAGGACGTTTCAAGGACTTTCCAGTCCCAGTTTCCTCAAATTAAAGAACCACGTGCAACAGCAATTACCTACTGCTACCAATAAACACGTTTAATATCATGTAAATACAATGAAAAACTGAACATAGAAGTTGTTGATTCAGAAACAATGAGTCAGTTTACCGTAATCCTGAGTTATCCACCGCAACAAATGTGTTTTTTTTAATTTAATTTTATAATTTATTTTTTAAAAGATGATGAAAATCAATCGTGTAAGTAGAGAATTTCAATCCCCCCAAAGAAAAATTCAAGGACTTTCAAGGACAAGTGTCATTTTTGGCTGTTTTCACAAACTTTCCAGGGCCTTGAAATAGTTTTTCCAAATTCACAAACTTTCAAGGATTTCAAGGACCCGTGGGAACCCCTGTATTAACGACCGGTCAGGTTCATCATCAACGACACGGCAGCAGAACTCGAAGTGTTTTCAAGTCCTCTGTTGAAAATTTGTGTATTTTTTTGTATCGCAGAACAACAACGTGTCGCCCGAGCCAGGCCCGTCGTGTCTTCATGTGAAAAAAAGTAAAACACTGTTCGCATGTCGACGCACGGCTGAATAACCTGGAAGACGCCAATAAAAATGCCAGATCAATGAGTATTTTTAAGAAAATGATAAAGAATAATTTGCTGGAGAAATATGTAAATGTATGAATTGTTGTTCGAGTTAAACC